AAAAAAAGGAGGAGGATTGGCAATAGATGTTAGCTCAGAGCTGGTCTTCCTCAGCAAAAAGAGGAGGATTAGCACGGATGTTAGCTCAGGGCTATCTTCCCCACAAAAAAATAAATAAATAAAATAAAAGTGAAGAGACCAAGGTTAAGGTCACACAGGTAGCAAGTGACTAAGCCAGATTCAAACTTGGATCCTTGGGACTCCAGAGCCCATGTTTTTCCCCTGGGGAGTCAAGGTGCCTCTTTAGAAACCAAAGCTGAAAGCTTGCTGGGTGATTGCATGGAGCACACTCTGAGCCCTGGCAGATGGGGTCTTGTCTGGCGGTAGCCACGGCTTTCATGCCCTTCTCAGCTGCACACTTCGTCCTATGGGCCCCTCCAGCCCATTGGAGATGGGCAAACCACTCTCGGTAATCCATGGGCTTCTGCACCAAACGGCATTCCTCCGACACTCAATCCCCCAGTTGGTGACCCTGACTGGAATTTTCTAGAGTCTCCCCTGCTGGATGAGAGGAAACAGGGATGGGGTGTTTGGAGGGACATTGCATGGTGAAAAACCAAGGGGTGTCATCCCTCACCTGAATAGGTGCCCCTAACAGCTCTCCCTGCCTCTGTGCTGCCTCCGACCATTCAGCACTTCACACCAGAGCAATCCTCCTAAAATACCATCCCTCCCACACTCACCCCTGCTCAGAGCCTCACCGGCTCCCCTTTACCTACACTCACTAAGGAGGCCTCCCAGCATCCTCCAGATCTAGCCCCCCCTCTCCAGCTTCTCCAGCTTTCTCTCTCACCACTGCCCCTTACACTTGAGAAGGCAAGAGACTTGGAACAAGAGAATAGCCAGGAACCATACATGGCTATTTCAATTTAAATTAATTAAATTATTATTAAAAATCCCGTTCCTCAGTCACACTAGTCACATTTCAAGTGCTCAGTAACCTCTTGTGGCTAGTGGCTACTGTGCTGGACAATGCAGATACAGAATGTTCCTATCATCACAAAAAGTTCTATTGGACAGTGCTGGGTTGGACTTTTCTCTTAGAAAGGAAGCCCTGGTCTATCAGCTTTAGAGGAATCCAGGGTGAACTCAACCTATTCAGTGACTCTTTCAACAAATATTTGGCACCTACTGTACTCTAGGTCCTGAATACACAATAGTGGGCAGTAGTAGCAGTTGGTCCTTTCCTGGGAGTGAAAAGGCAATTGCTAGGGGGTGTCCTAAGTGCCTGATGCCAGGCTGGGGGAGCTGGGAAGGCTTCCTGGAAAAGGGGATGTCTGAGTGCAGACCTGTATGCTGAGGAGGCACTAGCTAGGCTGAGTCACTCTCCAGACCATGCTCTTTTTGGCGCTCAGGGTCCCTTATTACAGGCTGTCTCCACTGCCTGGACTGCTCCTCCTCTCTTTTTCCCCAGGGAGGGAAGGAATGGAGGCTAGTTCCTTCAAGTCAGGCCCCCAGCTAGGACCAAGCCCAGAGTCCCTGTTGGGCCACTAACTCAAGAGCTCTGTGCTGTGGCCTCTACTACACACACACACAAACACACACACACACACACACACACACACACCACGCAGCTTGAGGGCTAGGTAAATCCAGAACTCCGGAAACCCAGGCCCTAGGGCCGTTGTGGCCATAGAGTGGAGGGTTCCTCACGAGAAGTCAAACCTGCAAGTCTGGTGGAGATGCAGGAGTCCCATTGTACCCTGAGGCCCATTCCAAGGTGGGCCCCACCCTTTCCAGCCCCTGAGTTCCTGCAGTGTGTGGTGCTGGGGAAAGTGTAGAGGAGAGAAGCCACTCCCATCCAGGGCTGGGTGGGAGCCAGGGCTGGCTAACTAAGCTGAGGGAAGCTGTCTTAGGGTCTCCTATCCCCCTGCTTCTGCTAGAGCCCCCAGCTGCTAATCCCCTCCCCACATACACAGCAGCGCCCACCCTGACTGCGCCCTGTGCCAGCTCCCCCATCCTGCTCCTCTTCCTGGTGCTCTGGCCGGAAACTTCATCCCTGCTGTGACTGGAAAGTGGCAGTTCCTTGACCTGAAATCATGCGCATGTTTACGTGGGAGAGAGGAGCTAGAATGCTGCCTATCAGGCCCTGCACCGTCCTCACCGCTTTACATGGAACGCCTCACTTAAGCCTCCTAACCCTAGGATAATTGTGTAGCGACGATTATCTTCACCTTGGTCATAGAAATTCAGGTCGTTTGCCAGAGCCAGCGGTGAGGAGGCAACCTTCGACGCTCTACGGCCCAGCCTGGATCCCATATCGCCCACCCAGCCTCGCACTTGCATTTCAGTGTCTTCGGGCCCTCCCTTCCCATCTCCCGGAGATCCCGCGCTCCCGCCCCGGGCCTCGGCAGGATCCGGCGCCTCCCTATCGGGAGGCAGACCAGGGGCCAGCTGGGGGTAGGGGGTCCGAGCCCTCCGTGCCAGTCTTGAGCTCCAGGCGGCCGCTGAGCGGCCCTTTGTTTCTGGGTGCTCGCAGCTTCTGCAGAGTCACGGTCACACGGCGCTTCCAGCACCGGGTGTTCCGGGCGCCGCGCCAGGGCCCGAGGACGCCCCCGCCCCTCGGCCCGGCCCAGCCCCGCCCCGCCGGCCGATCTAGGACCCCCGGGGCCCTGGAGCCTCGGCTGAGCCTCCTGGGCCACGCCCTGTCAGGCCACCCTGCTCTGGTGGCCTGTCTTCTCTGAGCTCCACCGTTGAGCCTTCCATAGCTTCTGATCCTAGGACTGGCGCGTCCAATACCTGGTTGTTTCCCGGGGTCCGCCTGTCTCCCCTACCCTAGACACCAAGTGAGCAAACTCAGGCTCTCCTTCCCTGGGGGAGCACTGTGCGGTAAATAGGGGGTGGTCAGATACTTAATTCCATTCTCATCATTTAATGGGGTGGCAGAGACAGCACTGAGCCTCCTTCTCTCCTCCTCCCTGACCACCGCCCCCCCCAAACAAAACAAAATGAAAACCAGCCACCCCAGGGCTGGCCGCCCTCCTTCTTGGCACAGACCATCTAAGGGCAAAAACCCCAGTCAGTGGCAGAAATGGGGCTGGCCCTTCGTGGCTCGACCACCCCTGCTCGATCACTCCCAGGCCCGGTCTGTGCCCTGGGACACCTGAGAACCTTGGAGCCTCATGGAAGCCATCTCTGCTTCGCTCAGCAGATTCAAGAATTCATTCAACAAATATTTATTGAAAGTGAACTACGTGCAGGGGGACCAAGTCTGTCCCAGATGCCAGCCCTGTGTGAAGCCGCCAAGAGGATGTGAGAGGATTCTCTTTGTGTCCAAGCAGTGCCTGTGCTGTCCCCCTGAGGCTCAGCTTCCTGGAGAAGGACATCATCCAGCGTGGCTTGGGAGGCCTAGTAAATGGGCAGACACAGCCATTCCTGGGGGCTGGGAATGGGGGCCCTGCCTGACCCCTGCTTCCCAGCCTTGGAGATGCACCGGGGAGTGGCAGTGTCGGCTCTGCGTGAGTAGGGGGTGGGGTCTCGGGGACCCTTTCTGTACTGGGCAGCGTTTCCCAATGCCTCTCTTCTGGGCCTGCAGGGACTGGGGTGAGGGACGGGGAGGGCCTGGAGGGGTGGAGACCTGGGAGAGAGCCCAAGGTAAACGGGGCAAGGAGCAAACCTGGGGCCAGAGGTGGGTGTGTACATCCGCTGTGGCGTCAGGGCTTGGTGGGGAAGAGCAGGCAGGTGAGCTGCCGGCTGCCGCTGTGCCTGTCCACGAGGGGCAAGGGATGCTGCACGTAGTGCTGGATCATGGCGGCCACCGAGGAGAAGAGCTGGGCGGGGAGGCAGGGCATCAGTGAGTCCCTTGAGCCTCATGCCGGGAGAAGTTTCCTGAGGGAACTGCGGAGCTTGGCGAGGGGGCTTGTTGACATTTTTCTAAATATTTCCCTTCCTGTTTGCCCCATGAAGCTCCGCTGCCATTTTGCTACCCAATTCCAGGCCTTAGGCAGTTTTCCTGTGACTACACCCGTGGCATGTTGTTGGCCAGACTCATATTTCCAAGGCCGGATGGAAATAACTGGGGACGTGCCTCTGCCCCCATCCTCCGGCATGAAGAACAAGGGGTGGGTAACTGTCTCTAGTTTGCAGCCCAGCAAGTGCTGGGCGCAAAGTCGAGTCCTTGGCACAGACAGGAGTCTGGACTACCTGAGCCCTGCCCTCCTCCCAGCTGGGTTCATTGCAGGTGCAAATGCCCCCACCTGGGCCCTGTGCGCACTGAGCCATGCAGGAGGAGGGGCCTCCCCCAGAGGAAGGTGGACCTCTGGGAAGGAATTCAGGTCACTGGCTACTGTTATTTCCACTCACTCCGGAAAAATATAAAATGTGGGCGTTCCCCTGGGCACATGCTCCTGACTGGGCCCAGGGTACCGCTCTGCCCCTTGCCCTTTAGCCCCCTACCTCCTCCAGCACCCACCTCCTCGTGGTTCCTGCCCTCCCGGCCCAGGGCATAGTGGCGCCCACCATCCACCTGCCGGATGGGAATGTTGAAGACCCGGCCATGGAGAAGCACTGCCAGGGTAAAGGGCTGGGAGCCATGAGGCCCTGAGCTGGGCCGCACGGTGTAGGCCCCGTCCTGTGGAGGAGACCCCATCTGTCAACTTCATCTTCCAGCTGTCCATCTGCAGCCCTGACCCATGATGGTCAGACGCCCTCCCTGCCCTCCTGCCCCCACCTGCTTAGCCAGCCACAGCCTATGAGCAGAAGCGGTTTCCAAGAAGGCCCAGGGGGTCCCCTACCTTTTGGAATCGGAGCAGGGCACTCTCAACAGCACGACGGTCACAGTTCCCTGAGTACCAAGGCTGACCCAGCAGGCTGCCGTCCTGTAACACACACACAGCTGCTCAGAGATGTGCCAGGGCACTGGATGGGGGCCAGGAGCAGAGAACCCCAGGTTGCACTTATCTGTGTTCATGTCTGCCTTCCCCAGACTGAGTCTGTGCAAGCAGAGCAAAGATGTCCATGCCTGTGCCCAGCACAGTGTCACACACACATGTTCAATGCATGTTCCTTGCAGTTGTGGACACCGGCCCAAGAGGGTTCCCCGCAGCCTCCTCCCCTAGTCCTCTCCCAGCCCCTCCTCACCTCAGCAGCTGAGGTGCTCCGGGTGGTGGCTACAGAGGAAAGAGAGGATCTCCTTCCTGCTGGAAGAAGCAGATTATAGAGCTGGGGCTGGGAGGGGATTAGGCAAAGGAAGCTTGGGGCCCAGCTGCAGGGGTGGGGGAGGTTGGAGGGGGGTGTGCCTAGGCCAGAAGCCCAAAGCGGGGCACCCAGGGCTTCACCCCTCCTTAGGTCTTGGGCTCTGGGAGGACCCACCAGCTAGGCCACACGTGACCTCCAAATGAGGGATGATCTTGAGGTATAGGCTGGGAGTTTCCTGCTTTGGTGCAGACCCTGGAAAATGCCCAAGGGGGTCCTCTCAGGCCTGCTCTCAGCTGGAGTCAGAGCTGCAGGGACCCCCTCAGCAAAGTGGGGCAAGAGAGGCTGGGAGGGAGTCTGTGATTGCAGGGCTGTGGCAGGGGTGGGCCCTGACAGGACTGCCTGGGTTCATGCTGAAGGTGCCTGTACTCACCTTTAGAGGTGGGATTCGCTGCTCCCTGGAACACAGGAGGGCCAGTCAGAAGAGACTTGGCCCTACAGGCCTGCGCCCCTGGGCCTGAAGTCCTGCCCTGTGCCTCCCTCCCTCTCCTCCCAGCTCACTTCTCCCCTGACCACCAGCGTCTTACATTCCGAGCTTCCTGGGGGGCTGGAGTGGGCCTGTGGGGAGCAAATCAGATAACAAAGGTCAGAGTCTTTACCTCCTTCAAGAGAAAGAGCCCAGTGAACCCGGAGGTCCCAGGGTGAGGGCTGGGGAGGCCTGAGTTAGCCATTCCTCTCTCTCTCTCTCTCTCTCTCTCACACACACACACACACACACACACACACACTCACACACACACACAGACACACACACACCGAGTGGGGCACTCACCTGGGCACTACTGATGTCCTTGGCACAGGGACTAGGGGCATCAGGACTTGGGAGCTCAGAGTCTGAGTCAAGGCTGGGACTAAAACAGAGAGGGCAGGCTGGGCTGGGCTGGGAACCAGGCAAGGAAATCCACGCTGGCAGTTGGGGGGGTGGGGCTGAGGACAGCTGCAGGGCCTGCGTTTCTCTGCAGCCTGGGCTGTCTGGGAGTCCTTCCAACCAAGGGGAGTGCTTTCTGGCCGCACAGCTGGGAAGCCCCACACAGCCCTTGTCTCTTGTAGGCTCAGTGGGGGTCAACCTGGACCAAAGGCGGAAGCATGGGTGTCCATGTGGGGGTCTGAAGGCAGATGTGTGTTGGTGGGGGTGGTGAGAGAAGACAAGGGAGGAAGAAGGAGCCAGGAGAATGTGTGGTGCTGCAGGCATCCACTCGCAGGGCAGGATGGATGTGGGGCGGAGGGAGGTGTTCACCTGGATTGGGCTCACACTCCAGGTAGATGTCCTCATCAGGTTTCTTTGGAGGCCCTGGCACCTAAGGTAGGGAGGGGTGTATGGGACCAAGGGTTTGACCAGCGAGTGGGCAGGAGGGCGGAGCCATCACCTGAGGGGGCTATTGGCACCTCACTCCCCCCTCGCAAGGTGGACCTCTTTCTGGGAGCCAGCTGCAATGATTAAAATTGCTCCTTTGGTCAGGATTGGGTGCATAACTTGTGGGGCCCAGTGCAAAATGAAAATGCAGGGCCACTTGTTAAATAAGCAGGAAAATGTGTCACTAAAGGTACTAAAAAAATAAAGCTTTCCTTTCTTCAAAAAAAAAATTGCTCCTTTGCCTGTAAGGGGGCACCCCATGAAGACCTTCCCTTTAGGAGGTGCCCATAGGCCCCAGCTCTCAGAGAATGTGGGTGTCCAGGAGTGCTGGGCAAGGCCCTCCCCAGCAGCCCTGGGCAGCCCCCTCAGGACAACTGGCTTACGCCCTGCCAGGGACCTCTGGCAGATGGGGAGGGACTCTGCTCTGGGCCTTTTTCCTTGGTTTCAAGAATATGTCCTGGCCCTCCTAAGCCCCCCCACCCCAAACTTACCAACCTTCTAGCCAGAACCCTAGAGTATGAGGTGGGAATTGATGGGCCACTCACCACTCTGGCTGGTGCTCCCAGCTCTGGAAGGCAAAGGAGAGAACCACGAGTCATGAGTGCAGGGAGAAAGGAATTCAGTGAAACTTAGGCTGGAAGAGTGGAGTATCCTTGGAACTTATCTGAGGGGATCCTTAGAGCCAGCTTTGAAGTCCCAGGAGAAAGCCACCCTCCCCCCCTCCCCCCATCGCCTTACTTCACACCCCAGTGGTGTTGCCTGGCTTGACCTCCCGCCTGATTTGCCAGGCTTGGCCCCAGATGACTGTGGACTGTTCCAAAAATCAAAACCACCCTCAAGGTCATGAAGTTTTACCAACCTCTGAGCACAGTAAAAGTGAATGTGCCCCAGGTTAGCTGTTCGACCTTGGGCAGGAGGGGCTGCCCCTCCTGGGCCACTTTCAGACAAAAACCGTGCTGGCTGAGGTGCCCCCCATCCTGACATCCCAGGGTTCTGAGGTCGCAGGCCTCCAGGCACATACCTATAATAGGGGAAAGTCTCTGGACAGTGGTGGCAATAATGACTGGTGGCCAAAGGGCCCCTTTGATGAGGGATGACGCTCAGATGTGTCTCAAAAGGGAGGGTCTTTCAGGCAGAGTAGGCTGCCTTCAGCCCCTTCATCCTGGGGTGTCCCTCACCTGAGCCAGAGAGCCCAGCGGGAGCACAACGGGACCCAGGGGTTGGGGACTCTGTTCTGTGTGAGCTCTGGCAAAGCATTTCAGTCTCTTCCTCAACTGCCTGCCTCAGCGGGGATGGCAGGTAAAAAGGAGGAAGAGTGGGGGTGTGCAGTGACCAGGCAGAGTATGAGACCAATATAAGGCAGCTCAGCTCTACCCGTGGGGCCAGGACACCCCTTCTCAGGGCGGGGAGCGGGTGGGCCTCGGAAAGAGACAAGACATCCCCTTTATTACCTCGCCTCCCGAACTGGCCCTGTGTGACGGCCTCCTGCAGGCTCAGCGCTGCCTTCAGCTGCGGGCACAATGGGTGGTGAGGGAGAACCGGGTTGAGGTGGGGTACAGAGGGGGAACTGAGGCTGAGGGAGAACGGGCTGGGGGTGGAGTATGGAGGGGAAACTGAGGCATGGCGAGGACAAGGATGGGGGAGTGGGATGTGATAGGGTATGTATATTCGAGCAGCTTAAAAAAACACTACAACACTGAGTTAATGTACAAAGGAGGCGACTCTTCTTTTTGCCTCTATTCTGTGGCTCTTTTCGTGTTGTGAATCTCTCCCTGTTTTTCTTTTTATTCCAATAAAATATATGGTCAAAGTGGTAGCTTTCCAAGCCCATGAACGGGATCATGGCAGGAATGAGAGCTGGCAGTGACTGGCAGCTGAGTGAGGAATTTCTTCACTGTCTAGGCGGGGAGGCGTCCTCAGGCCCCTGGTCCTGGGAGGGGCGACTGAGCCGCCTGTCCCTTTCCCCGCTGCTCCGCTCGCTCGGGTGAGAAGGGTGAGTGCCGACAGGAGGGTGAAAGGACCAGGCCAGGCAGGTGGGAGGGGCGAGTGTTAACAGGGCTCAGGCTTCTGACGCATCTCATTTTTCAGGGGCCTCTTGAATGCAGATATGGGGGAATCTTGCAAATGAGATGGCTCTTAGATTTATTCATTGGGAAATGGTAGCCTGGCGTGGAGCGGCTGGGGGAGGAGGGACTTGTGGGGAGACTGTTTACCATTGCGGGCTGGGGCTGCGGTGGTGGTGACTTGGATGGGCTCAGGGGGTGATCTGGAAAAGACCCCAAGCATTGTGGGTTGGTGGGTTTCTCCCATGTAGCTCTCCATTTTCCTCTCGCCCCACACCTGGACTCTATTTCTCGTCCCTCCCTCGCTCCCCTCCCCTCTCACAGGCTTCCAGACTGTCCCGTCTCCATGGCAACTGGAGGCGGCCAGCTTCCCTGCCCCCACCTGGCGGAGCCCGGGGAGCCATGGGGGTGGGATGCCAGCGGCAGCCGGGGCTCTCCTGGCACCCCCACCCTTGCTCAGAGCTGTGCTGGGATCTCAGAGGGAGAACACCAGGCCCCAGGGACCTTGTCGGGCCTCCTGCTTTCCCCGCTGTTGCCTTGGTTACACTGCCCCTCCAGGCTCCTCTCCCCTTCCCACTCTTCTTCCTTTCTCCCCTCCTCCCTCCCTCCTTTCCTCCATCCCTCTCTCTCTGCCCAGCCAAGAGGCCTCAGCGACTGCCAGTTGAGGCCTCCCCTCACCGCACCAGTGCAGACCGAGGGAGAAGAGGCCTGTGTCCTCTTCCCTTGTGGGGACCCTGCTGTCCTGCCTGACCCCCAACTTCCCAGCCCTCACCTAAGTACAAAGAGTCTTCCTCCGTGTCAGGAAGGTGGGCAGGAGCCAGACTGAGGGGCAGAGCCTCACAGGGGGGCAGCTCATATTTATCCTCCTCCTCTTCCTCCTCCTGGGCTTTCTGGAAGGGGTGCTGAGCACAGGGAGGATGGAAGAGATGCAGGAGCAGTGGTGGCTACTGCTTCCATCCTGTCCCCCCCACCCCAGCCTCAGCAGCTGGACTTACGCTGTGTCTCCAGGTCCCTGGGGCAGGCAGAGGAGGTGGGCGGGGGGCATCCCTTCTCCAAGCTGGGCAGTCTGGACAGGAGACTGATGAGACTGGCCTCATGTCCTCCCAGCCCACCCCCTCTCTAGCACCATGACTTACTCTTTCTCCCCAATGGAATAAACCATCTGCACTTTTACTGTGAGCCTCAATGCTTCATTTGATTCACAGGCACTATCCACAATGGGCCTTTCCAACCCTGCAGCAGGGCCAATTAGGTAGGCATTTTGGAAACAAGGGGGCTTCACAGCTAGCTGTCTGTTCCACCTATGCCAGTCCCCCCCCTCCACCCACCCCGCACCCCCAATTCCAACCAAGACAGGTGGAAGAGCTGGCCCCGTGACTTAGCAGTGCTGGACTATGATGGCCAGGAGGCATACAGAGCCACTCAGGGGAGACTCGACTTGCAGGACACCCCATTCTACTGGGCCCCTCTTGCCCACTGTGTCACTTACCTACACATCTGGGGGGTGGAAGGGGTGGCCCCAACCTGCAATCAGACTCTAGTTAACTCTGCCCAAAGGGTCCTTGAGTTTGTGTCAGCCAGACACTGCACAGCTCCAGGACCTGCACATCCATGACTCTGTGAATGGTGCCCCTTGGAGTTATGTGACAGCAGCCTGGGACCAGGGCAGTGGGTGAAAGAGACTGGGGGCAGAGCTGGTACCCGTGGGTGCACAGCTGGATGAGCCGGTGTCCCAGGGGAGGCAGTAATGGGGGAGCCCTAGTGCTCACAGCGGGGTGGAGGGACATGAACGGCCTCACTGGATGGGTGGGAAGGGCCCAGGGATAGCCAGCACAGTTCCAAGGATAGCTGTGCCCAGGAAAGGGGCAGCGAGGTGGAGACAAGAGGGCAGAAGGAAAGAGAGGAGCCTGAGTACTTACCGGGGCCTGCTCCCACTCAGCTTGTCCTGGAAAGAGTCAGGGAGGGGAGTGAGGGGGTGGTCAGTGCAGCTGATATGCCCCTCCCTGCCCAGAGTCCTGGGCCCCCAGGGGTGGGCAGGTCTGTGCACCTGGGGTGCCCCAGAACCAAGTCTCACCATGGCTGAGGTGAAGGAGCTCTGCCTCTCTGGGGCCCAGGCTCTGTCACAAATGGCCTGGGGACAGGGACCCTATTGTTCCCATTATTTGCATCTCACAAGCACCAGGAAGGTGGCCTGCTGTGGCTTCCAACCCTAAACAGACTTCACCCATGCCACTCCCAAGGCCCAGCCCCACCTCCCCCTAGCTTCCCCCACATTGCCTCCCACAGTTGGGGTCTCCAGCCCCTCTGCCCCACAGGAGGTAGAGCTCTCCCTTCCTGCCCAGGCCTGCAAAGCTGGACCGGGGCTCAAAGGCTTCCTTTAGCTCTCCGATCAATTTCTGTCCCCTCCTCCCAGAGGGTCAAAATCACCTCCAGATCAGCCAGACCAAGCCCTTTCCCAGTTCAAAGGTGACATGACATTATTGGGCAGATCCAATTAAAAACAGGAGACTGTCCTTGCGGACACTTTTCTTGAATACTTTATGCCTACTGTCTGCTGGTGAGTGGCAATCAATGAACAGGGAAATGGAGGTTAGAGAAAAGCTCAGAAACATGCATTCGTATTTCATTTCTTGATGGATGTATTTATTCATTCAGCAGATATTTATTGAAGATCCACTATACACCAGGCACTGTTCCGGGTGCTGAAGATGCTGTAGGAAAACTAACTAGGCAGGCTGTACCCGTGCATTTCCTCAACGATGCTCACAATGGCCTCAGGATGTAGTACTAGTTTTAGCCCTGCTTTTCAGATGAGGAAACTGAGTGCATCAGTCAGCTCAGGGTACCATCACAGAATACCACAGACTCGTGGCTTATATGGCAGAAATTTATTTCCTCACAGTTCTGGAGGCTAGAAGTCCAAGATCAAGGTGCCATCAGGGTTGGTTTCTGGCGAGAGCTCTCCTCCTGGTTTGCAGACAGTCAGCTTCTTGCTGTGTCCTCAGATGACCTTCCCTCTGTGCATGCATGGGGAGAGAGATTTCTCGAGAGAGAGATCTGTGATCTCTTCTTATAAGGACCCCAGTCCTATTAAATCAGGGCCCCACCCTTATGACCTCATTTAACCTCAGTTACCTCCCTAAAAGTCCTGTCTCCAAATATAGTCACACTGGGGTTTAGGGCTTCAACATATGAATTTAGGGGGGGACACCATTCAGTCCATAGCACTGAGGCTCTGAGAAATTGAGTGACTTTCCCAAGGTCATACAATTAAAGAGTACTGGAGGTGGAATTCAACCCAAGGCTTGCCCAACCTGAGCCTGTGCACTAACCACTGAACAATCCTGTACCTCATCTAGGATTGGGTCCTGACTCTCCTTTCCTGTAATGGAATTAGACACATCAGTAATCGAGGGCTTCCTTAAGGAGCCTGTGACTGCCAGGTTCTCTGTTCCCCAAGTGAATTCTGGAACTTTGACTTCTGAGAAGTGTTGGGGTAAAAAGAAGGGCCAGCGCCTGGTGTCTGACTCTAAACCAGGGAATGAGGAAACACAGATGAGGATCATGAATGTAAGACCTTCCCAGGGCACCGTAACTTCCCGTGTTTATTACTTTGGTGATGTTCTGGCTGTTGGCACAAAGGAGAAATGAAGGCTGTATGCTTGCAGCTTTGGAGGCCAAGAGGCTGGGGGCACTGGGGAGAGACCTTCCTTCAGAGAGGAAGACGAGATAACCCCTGGGACCTGCAGGCAAAAGGGCACTGAAGAAGCTATGAAAAGTTGTTGGGGTGGCTTAACAGGAGCCCATTAGGTGCAGTGGGGAAAACTGGGAAAATAACAACAAAGATACGGTCTAGGCCTGAAGTCAGGGACCCGGGTCTCCTCCCTGACCTCCACTCCTCAGCTGACCTTTGTTCCACATTTGGACCATAAGGCAGGGGCAACTTCCCTCACCCAAGGGGACCTCCTATGGGATAAGAGTCAGCAGGTCGAAGTCAGCAGGAGGCTCTAGACACCACCCCACTGCAAACTCCAAACCCAGCGGGTTTCCCAGTCCATACTACCCTCGCCTCAGCCACCCCCTCCCTCTGCTCAAGGCTTTGCATAGGCAAATACCAGGGCCTGGGTGAGTGAAAGGGCCCCAGGCAGACGATGGAATCCCTGCCATCTTGGGGGGTGGGGGGCAGTGGCCTGGACAGATCAGGGAGAAGGAGAAGGAAGGAGGCCACCTCCCGGCTTTGTCTCACACCCGCCAGCCCTGCAGGACTGGCTTCTTGCTAATTGCACAGGCAGACTTGGACAACCTCTTTCTCCATCTTTGGCACAGGATTGTTTTGTGCACAACCACAGCTATTCCCTTGGGATGAATTCCTAGAAGTAGAATTGCTGGAAACTCACATTTTGAAGGTTTCAATGCCCCATTGTCTGGCAGCACCTGAATGCCTGTTACAGTGTCCTTCCATAGCACACAATGATTCTCCACATTTTCCAGATCTCAGCTACTGATCTCCAGTGAGAACAGCCCATAAGTCACAGGCCCAGGTTGTCTAAATCCACCCTAAGAACACAAACAGCTCTTCGGAGCAGTATTTCCCCCAGGTAGTGATCATAAGAATCACTGGAAATGCAAATCAAAACTACAATGAGATATCACCTTACACCTGTCAGAATGGCTGTCATCACCAAGACAAAAAATAACAAATGTTGGAGAGGATGTGGAGAAAAGGGAACCCTCATACACTGCTGGTGGGAATGCAAACTGGTGCAGCCACTATGGAAAACAGTATGGCGATTTCTCAAAAAATTAAAAATAGAAATAGCATCTGATCCAGCTATCCCACTACGAGGTATTTATCCAAAGAACTTGAAATCAACAATTCAAAGAGATTTATGTACCCCTATGTTCATTGCAGCATTATTCACAGTAGACAAGATGTGGAAGCAACCCATGCCCATCAACTGATGAATGGATAAAGAAGAGGTGGTGTATATATACAATGTCCTACTTCTTAGCCATAAAAAAATACAAAATAGTCCCATTTCCAACAACATGGATGGACCTTGAGGGTATTTTGTTAAGCAAAATAAGCCAGACAGAGAAAGACAAACACCGCATGGTTTCACTCATATGTCGAAGATAAACAAACACATGGATAAAGAGAACAGATTAGTGGTTACCAGAGGGGAAGGGAGTTCGGGGTGGGCGAAAGGGGTAAAGGCGCACACATATATGGTGATGGATAAAAATTAGACTATTCGTGGTGAGCACGACGCAGTCTATACAGAAATTGATAAATAATAATGTACACCTGAAATTACACAATGTTATAAACCATGATGACCTCAATACAATAATTGGAAAAAAAAGAAAAAAGAATCACTGGAGAGCTTGTTAAAAGCCTTAGATTCCTAGACCTTCACTGAGATTTTAAGAATTGGATGTTCTAGAAGGGGACTGGGAATCTATATTATTATTATTATTATTTTGTGTATGTGTGAAGATTAGCCTTGAGCTAACATCTGTTGCCAATCCTCCTCTTTGTGCTGAGGAAGATTGGCCTCAGGCTAACATCTGTGCCCATTTTCCTCTACGCCACCACAGCATGGCTTGATAAGTGGTGTGTAGGTCCGCGCCCGGGATCCGAACCTGTGAACCCCAGGCTGCCAAAGCAGAGTGCGTGAACTTAACCACTATGCCACCGGGCTGGCCCCCTCTATATTATTTTTAACAAGCATCCTAGATCAATCTTATGATCAGTCAAGTTTGAGAAACTCTGCTCTGTAGGAAACATGCTGAGAAGATACGACTCCTAGGATATTTTTAGTATCACATACAGCCTTTAGCTTGTTGGGAACACAGAGATCCCAGCAGAGAAGGAACATGAC